CCTAAACTCACATATAATCCCCTTATCATAAAATTAAAAAAATTGGTCATCTTATACTATTTTTCGAAGCCTATATGACTCCAGTAATTAAGCTCGATGGGTTTTTGTCACAACTTGGTGCCTTATGGTCAACTGACTTGGAGTCATCGACCTAACACTCGTTACATGGGTCATTTTAGTCGCTTAATGGACAAAAGCCCGCACATAAAATGTAATAATTGAGAAAAATAATATAAAAAAATATAAAAATAAAAATTATGTATAGTCAAACTCAATGGGAGAAAAGACAAATATACGTGAAAATGAGCTTCATTTTAAGATCATAATAAATTTATGTGTTTGACTTCTATTCCCTATCTAACAGTGATGTTCCATGTCATTTCTCACAAATTTAAGATTTGAAGTCATGATCACGAGAAAATTGTGACACTTACCACACGTGAGTCAATTATACAATTTACTCCATTTAAACTTAATTTTAGTACTGAGAAATTTTTATTGATAATGCAATATTTGTGAATACATGCATTTTTGAGTTCATCTGTATGTCGGAAACTTAATTTTTTTTTTTTAAAAAAAAGGCTATTTTTCGAAATTTTCAAAAATTCAGTGTTATTTGTGTCAAAAAAATTTTGCCTGCTTTTCGTTGAGCGTCGCTCAAGCGATAAAATGCGAGGCTATCTAGCTCGCTTATCATTTGCCCCTCGCTCGAGTGACAGCTCGTGTATTTGATTTTCAACGTTCTTTTATTGCATTTTTTTCGCACTTCTTCATTTTTTCCTCTCAATTCGTGCCACCCATATATAATTTATGCATTTAATCAAGAATTGGACATATAGCATCCATCATTTGGTAGATTTTCACACATTTCCATCCGTTTTCAACGAATTTATAGGGTAAAAATTGAAAAACATAGTTCATCAATTTTTCATATTTTTTTGGGGCTTTTGCTATTCTTGTGTTAATTTTCTTCATTCCATTTCATGGCTGGACTATTTCCATTTAGTTTCATCTCACATTGCATCATTTGGGTGAATACTTCTTGATTTTTGCATGTTTTGGCAATATGTGTTGCATTTTGTTTGTGTTTGTGATTGTTCAAGTTTTTTTTTTTTTTTT